AAATGTCAAGGTGGGCACTAGGGTGGGGGAAGTCAGTCCCCTTCTCTGCCTGCACAAGTGAAGCCCTGATCTTGCTCAATGTCACTGGATGGTGTCTGTCATGATCAGAACTGATCCTGGACTGACTGGTTCAGAGCAGCAGCCTGCCCATCAACAGAGCTTCTAGTTAATTGACAAGCTAATAGATAAGGATGTCATATTAGCATGTCAGTAACTCCTCCCCTACAAAATTAGCTTGGGCAATGATAATAATTACAGATGGAGTTTGAATCCTGTCTGCTGGCAATGGGTGAAATTGGTTGCTGTCTGATAGCTCTTTGTTGAGCCAAGGAAAATGAATTGATGGTCTCGGTTCAGTTCCTAAGACATGAGTTTCTACAGCACAGAAATTCACCCCTGGGGGACAACTTTATTGCCAATCTCAGTGGCAGCTTGGAAACATGTGGGCATAAAGGCTTGGCTGCCCATTCGTTCTGACAGCTTGTCCTCACAGAAGAAGGCTGGACCCCAAATAGGATATGAAGTGGAGCTTGCTGTCTTGCTAGCCCAGACATTCCCACAGTGTAACCAAGGGAGACTGGGGTCACCTGTGAACTGTCTGCAGAGAGGAAAGACAGAGTTATTCCTGGCAGTGGTGGACAATCAGAAACAGAACTACTGTGAGCCTGAGAACAGTAAATGAGATGACAAGTTTTTAATGTATTATGTGCAACTGAGGGAGCTTTGCTTTTGTTTTTGTCAGCAACTTAACTCCAGACCAAGTACACTGAAGAACTCCTGGAAAGCATTTCCTATCTGAGGCTCCATGAAGCTGCCATACTACTGTATCTATTCCTGCCCCTGGTCATGCTGGACATCCCCTGGCCCAGGAGGAATGTTTGTTTAGAAGGTGTTGGATGCAATGAGGTATATTTCTGCTTCTTCCTGGGAACATCTCTGGACAGAAGATCACAGAGCAGCCCACACTCTTTTCTGGAGGCTCCATTCTGTGCCTCCTTCCAGTTCCCTCATCTCACAGATTCTTTGACTGCCAATCCCTTCTCTCTCTTGTTTGCTACCCTTTGTTCTCTCCATTTTATCATATCTCCCTTTTTTTTTCTTCCAAAGGAGGATTTATTTTTGGAGTGAGCATTTTGTGCAGTCCCTCACAATGCAATCCAGTAGGGCAAGACCTGTTATCAGATAGCAGAGTGCTGATGGTGTGAGACACAGCAGAAAACAGTGCAGATGGTCTCCATTGTTATTGTACATCACACACTGTTACAAGAGAGCCACTGAGCTCTGGGTGGCTAAGAAGCTTTAGCAGATAGGTGCAATCCCTGTTGCTATGACTAATGTGGAAATGGCAAATGCTCTTTTGCTCCTGTAAAGTGACTCACAAGATCATGGCACAACAGATTATTCTCTTTGTCCCCACTATATGTTGTGACACGTTGCCATGTTCAATAGCTCTGCAAGTTGAAAGACTAAAGGGCAGGCATTAACACACAAAAATATCATGTCTCCAAAGGGGCTCAGACTAGTGGAAGGGGAAATATTTACTCCCTTGTTAGTCTGTCTATGACAAAAAGTGCACTGTGAGGTATTATATACTAGATAAGTTGGAGAAGATGAGAGCATGGCTTGCAAAGAGTATGCCTACAAGGAATGGTTTTCTATTGCTACTACATGGATCCATAAGCAGGCCAGAACCACAGAAGAAGATAATTCCTGCAGGGGCTGGATCTGTGATCAGAGATCTAGTTACTAGGGATCTTTGACCTACTCTTGCTTTTGCCCCAAAGGCCTGGATGGTTCAGTAGTCTGAGTCAACGTATATCATGTGTGTCCCTGCTCTAGACAAAATGTATCTTAAAAAAAGAACACAGAGGAAGACAGGAAAAGAGTGAAACTACAGAGTAAATACAATTACGTGATCTGGACTGCTTTTTATTGTGCTAAGACTGCAAAGGTTTAGAGTCCTTTAGATGCAGCATCAAAAATATTATAGCTAGACACAAAGGTGGACATGTAGACAAACAGCACAATTAATGGGATTTATTTGGATCTGAATGATGTGAATGTCATGCCTCTACAGGTTTTGATTGTCCTGTTTTGCTATTTTCAGGCAACAAAAAACACTCTGCTACAGGTTATAATGGTGTGAACCCACATTTCAGTTTTTTTGTGGAGTATGAAAGAGTATCTGAGAGAAAAATTCAGGCTTTAAACAATATATAGAAAGTCATAATCATAGCAAGACTATGGTTATGTACTTAATACTGCAGCACTCTTAGCCACTTTCAGAATGGGAGATATATCATAAAAGAAAGTTGCTGACTTTGGTTGAGGACTAACATATTCTTTTCTCCTCTATAATGTTAATGCAATTGCATGCTCAGATTTAATATTTTATTTCTACCCTTACATTTAGAAACACAGAGATGCAGAACCACAGGGCAGTACCAGTAGCAAATGCTACAGAGGAAAGCACAAAAAATCCCATAATGAACAATGATGGAATAAGCTGCCTAGTGATGAAAATTTCTTTCTAACCCCAAGCAATTAGTGGCTGGCTTATATGATAAAACATGAAGGTTTGTGTCTTTTCTACATTATGTCCAATCTAATATGGCTGTGGATGTTCTCATTACCAGTATAAATGTAATTTTTTTTTTTTTTTTTTTTTTTTTTTTTTTTTTTTTTTTTTATGCTGCTAAACTCCAAGCCTCAATAAAGCCTGTGGCAAGGAATAAAGTTTTGGAGAGTGCATAAATGCTCACGAGAAGGAAGAGAATAAGACAGGCCAAACACATGACATGTTCTACACTCAAACTGCTATGAATGATCTTTCTTTCAGGGTTTCATTGCTGGTAGGGACAGGCAGAATGTCAAATGAGAGTTGAGGGTTTGACCTGCCACTGTTCCCTTTACACCTCTGCTATAACTTAAGATGTCACTAAGTTATGAGGAATCTGAGCACCAAGAAAGACCAATATATTGCTGAAGACACACCAAGATAAATACAAACCTTATACAAAGCAGACTATTTGGATATCAGCTTTACTGACAGAAAGAAGCCTCTGCCTGCAGCAAAGTGGAACAAGGATGACTGTCACCTTTCAGTGTGTTAGGCTGTTGGTGTTTGTGCTGTGAATTGCTGGTCAAACAAGACTCTATAAAACTCAGAGAGAATCAGGTTAAGGTCACCGACTTTTATATAATCATGGATGAAATACTTATCTGGAAAGTTTATTTAATTATATGGGGTAGTTGGAGATAGTAATAAAAGATCAAGTCATTAAGAATCATCTAGGAAGATCATATTTTCTCCGATATCTGCAGTAATAGATCATGGAAGATTAGCTAAAAAGAGCTAGATAACGACAAAAAAAAAAGATAGACATAGAAATGGATGAATAAACAGAGAGATGATAGACTGGCAAACAGGTAGATACTTAGATGGTTTGTTGAACAAATATTTATATAGCCTTAAAGGCAGGGTGTTTTCTTGGTGCTGTGGTTGAGCTCACTAAGGGCTCCCTGCAATCTTCTGATTGTAAGCCTCCAAGAGCTCCGCACACATCTAAGCTGCTACAAACATGCAAATACATGTTTAGCTTTTAGCACACTAAGCTCTTTGATTTCAATTCTGCTTACAGTTGAACTCATGGCTAAATGTTTACAAAGTGTATCTGGGGAAGACGATAATAATTTTTCAATACACTTGGTATTTATGGGCTTTCTTTTGTTGCATTCACAGGGTGGCTTTTTTCAGTGACACAACTGCAATCAGGTAAGCCTTTTGTATGTCTATGTTATATGGTATTTTTCCTTGTAGCTCATAAAATGCCATGTGGTGTTGAATATTCTAAGTTTTCAGGGCTGTCTGAGATTGAAATAATTTTACTTTTTAGAGGTTTTCTAGTTTTTTTGGCTGGAACATCTGACTAAGTGTCTGATACCTTAAGACTTGCCTAGATCAATCTATGAGTCACCCTGGGTAAAATACTCCCCAGCTGGTGGCTAGGATCAATCGGTAACATTTACCTAAATTTTTATTATGATTGTTATTATTAGTAAGTGTACAGCAATGGTAAGGAATGTCTTTCTAACAGAAGTACAGCTTGGAGAGGAAGGCTGTCTCAAATACAGAGGATTCTGAAAAAATGTAGGTGACTGTTAAAGACTTGTAAACTCTTGAGTTCTTGGTGATTGCAGGCTCAGAGTGTCCATATGTGTATAAGAACAGGTATAGAGGCAGGTATATAGACTTTAACCTCCCTCATACATCCCTGACTGCCAGGGCTTGCAAAACCAGTCCTTCAGTTCTGGCATCTTTTGAACTAGTCATGGTCTGAATCCTAGCAGCAGTTCTCTGAGTGGTGTGCCACAAAAGGACGAAGCTGAGCCCATTCTGTGTCACTATTAAAGGAGCTTCAGTGTCCAGGCCTGGTAAAGCAACAAGATTTGAATGCAGTGAGCATTTCGGACACCAACACCCTCTTCCTGTGCACATGGCCCGAGGCATGGAGCGGTTTGGACCCACTGGGCTTGTCCTCCCAGAGCCATTGGCTGCTAGGGAAACCCAGCAGGAGTTACCAACAGTGGGTGCTAGGAGATGTACATTGGTTTAGCACAGCTCCTTCACAGCTAGCCAACAGCAAGACCCATGGGAGTACCGCTAGGAGATCTGCCAGAATGAACTGATCAGGCCTCAGATCAAATTTTAGCTAAAGCAAAACATGCTGGGTGTCACCAGACAAGTTATCCTGCAGATGAGCATTCAATCTTTCAGCATAAAAATTTTCAGCCTCCATCATGTTCTTGATATCTATCATCCAGATTTAAGTGTATAACTGTTGCTGGGGAAGATCTAACTACACCAATGCTAGAGTGAGCCCTGATGGTGTGGGGTATAATACTTCTGAGGTAGTGTGTGCTAGACAAAGCCTGTGGATGTGTATAATCTCCCCCAGACTGAAGGAGTAGGTTGTGGGCACAGTGTTGGTCTGGCTTACCTGGATAAGGGTGTATGCCATTAGCAAACACAGCTTCTGCGGCGGGCTGCCCATTAGCCTGCGGCGGAAGGCCAGTGAAACCATTCACCCCAATTGGAGATGGGATGCTAGGCACAGCTGGTGCAGTTATGCCGGGAGGTGTGCTTCCACCTGCAAGTGGGGAGGACACAAAATCAGAGCTAGTGAGTACTGGAAGAAATAACTACATGGAGAAAACTACTGATACAACATCTGTGACCACCACAGAGAAACCTTCTGATAATCCAAAAGATGAAAAATCTCCCAGGCTGTTGTGCAAAGAAAGGGACTACTTGACATTGCTCCTCTGTCTGGAAAACTCTTAAGAAAGTCCTGCAAAATTTTTTCAGTGGAATGAAGCTTTTGCTTGGTGATCATGGTCCTTAGACTAGATGCACAGCTAATGTCAAGCAATAGAAAACTATAGAAATATCAGCCTTCCTCCTTAACTTTCTCTCTGGTGTATTACCTCTTTAAATTGCTAAACAAGCGGACATTTCTTTCCTAGATATTTAGTGCCAGAAGCAAATTCTCAGTCCCACCTTTCTACAGCAGTTCCTCTCAGTTTCTCTTTGGAGATGTCAGCTTTGTGGGCGTACCAATTTCCAGTACTACTCTGTCTGCACTCTCTCATGAATACACATTTAATGTACAAATTCATTCTGAATTTTCTCAGCACCAGGGATCCTTAAAAGGTATGGCAAGTTGATTTATAGCCTAAGGGCAGCCAGTGATACTTTTTTTTAGTGTCACTGTTCTGCCCAAACTTGACTTTGTGGAGTTTTAGCAGAGATCTTCCACTCAACAGGGGCAAAATTTGGGCTAGATTTTTTTCTTTCATGGAACCATACTCCTTTACTTCTTCCCAGATGCATCCTGTGGGGGACTGTAATGCTGCTATTTCAGAAGAACAATTTAGTCTTTATGTTTTGGGTGGGATCCTCTCACTCACTGGTAGAGAATTCTTAAATTTCTGAGAGAAGCATTAAATCCCTCTGCTACCTCTTTTTTGGTACCTACATATGTTTAAAAGGACTGGGCAGTCTGTGCTTCTTGCAACATATTCAAGATGTTTTTGGGGACCAAAAATGAGTTTTCAATAAGTATGAAATTATATTTTTCTCTTGCTGGCTATGAGTGGGAAGTTAAACTATCTTATCTTCAGCAGTATCTTTTTGTGTCAGGATATACTACTGATTGAAAGCACCATTTTTGCAGTATCCTCTTTTTTAAATCAATTGCAGAAATTTTCTTCATCATAGCAGCATTCCATGATAGGTTAGTCCAATAACACACTTTAATGACTGCTTACATCTGTGTTGGTGTTTTAAGAAAGCCAATACAGATGCATGAGATATTTTAATATGTTCTGATTTAAGTAGCCCAAAAAGCAGGCAATGTTTCAGCTCTTTTTTTATACCTTGAACAGATAATCTGCTTCTTCCCCTTTACTTATTTAAATGGTGTTGGCCTTTAAAAATACCCTCTGTGGAGGTATGGGGAGCCAGCAGTGGCAACTGAAGTCCAAAGGCAATGCTCTTAGCATATGCCATCAGCTTGCAAATCACAAAGGCTAGTTAAAATTTCAGTTGCTTTTCTGGATCTCTCCTTTATTTGCATAGACAATATAAGTAATTTTTTCTAAAATTGCAGCAAGGGATTTGTGCTTGCTATTTTGTGCATGTCTAAGGAAGTTTAGGCATATTCATTGCAATTCTTTAATTTTCTTCTTATAAAGAACCCCCCTAGAGAGGTCAGATCTGTAGTTGGAGTAAAACTGGCATAATGCCACCTCAGACAACAAATTGTGATTGTGCATGCCAGTTGTAGATTTCATCCCTGGTTTGAGATCTCTTGCAGCTACACCAGGTATAGTTTTACAACATGGAGGGAAGGAGAAGAGAAGGAAGGAAGGAAGTCTCAATGCAATTTCATCTCTAGCCCCTCTGTGCAATTAATAGAGTGGCATACCCGCTGCAGGTTCACTTTTGAACCAGATTATGCTAATGATGGGAGAAATGCAAAAATTGAACCAAACTTTTAGAGATGTAATTTTAATGGCCTCGCAATTACTGACTGTTGTGTGAGATAAATCTGACTTTTGATTGGGAATTGTGACTAGCTTAAACTAAATGTCTAACTTCTGTATGGTTAAAGCCAGGTGAGATGGATCCTTGTCTCTAGTCTGTTAGACTTGCCTGGAGCCAAAACTCTCTAAGTTCCTAGGTCCCATGGGAACTCATGAGCCTGAATGAACTCATGGCCATGTCCCAGGGAACCCACTTTCCTAGGTGAGATACACAGAAAACAGTCTAGATTAGGAGGTCTGAAGATAATATCAGGGAGGAGTTGTGCTCAACCAATATTTCCAAAGCCTCTAGGACTTCTGGGTTACCAGTGTCTTTTTTTTTAACACAATTTTTCTTTTGCTTAAGAAAGCTCAAACCACTCTTTTTTTTTTTTTTTTTTTTTTTTTTTTTTTTTTTTTTTTTAACATTCCAAACACTTTTTTTAATGCCTGTTTTTCAGAGAACTTTGAAATGTTTAATTTTTATTCCAAGTCAGAACAAAGATTTAGTTCAATGACTGGAAATCCTGCTATGAAGCAGAATGATCGTTTTCCATTTGGCTATCTGAATGCTAACAAAAGCCAGCTGAAGAATTCATGTTAGGTTTCAGATATCTCCTGGCTACTCAGAAATCACTGCTAGTGTTGTAGGCTTGCTTGCTCAAACATTATGTGAAACATTTTCTATGCATCTTATCACAAGCTTTGTGACTGTTGTAGTAATATAAGGAGTCATTTCAAAGTCTAAACATTTCACTCAAGGAATTATTGTTAATAGACCTTTCTACAACTCATTGCAGAGGTTTTTCATGAAATAATCTACCCATTCAAGATAAACCTGCAATTATGACAATATACATAGACTCCCTGATTGAAAATATGTCATAAGGAGAGTGCAAAATCTGTCACCATGAAAGGGATCAAGGAATCTTCTAAACCAGCATCTTATTTTCAATAATGACCAATCATGGGTGCTTTAGGAAGCACGTAAAAAACATGAGTTTCCTCTCCTGTATTCTGACAATAAGGGTTTAACAGTCCCCAAAAGGCACTGAGTACACCAGAAGAGAAGGAGAGGTTGCACTGAAGAAGGGCTGGGATATTTTTCATGTGCTAGGTATCATGGTAGGTACAGAATTTGGCTGTTGTATTGACATTTACACACCTATGTCACAGAACTTGCTCATTGTCAAGACTTATTTATATTCAAAAGAGCTTATGCCCTTTTGTGGTGGAACCATCACAAACCACCACCTGGATTCAGCTTTCCAGGCCCTGAGAGTATTTGAATTCCAGGTAGTCTTTGTTTCAAATGCCCTCTGCTCTCACCAACAGAAAACAAATCTAGCTAATGTAAATATGATAATCTTTCCAGCAGCGGGTTTAAAGGGTGCACATATAATTAAGCCACTTTTCTATTTGGATTTGCAGTAGCTCCATTGGCTTGTTGTTTATACATTTTATCATTGTGTAAATATATATTTTGAAATGTGTGGTATAAGATTTTTGAGTCAAGCATTTTTCCTTGGGTCTCCATAAGTTCACGTGGAATAATATCTGTCTTCCTTCCTCCCTCTTTTTTTTCCCCCTCATATTCTAATACAAGCAAAGGAAAAGAGGTATCTGATCCAGTAACTGCTGACATTGTTCCCAACTACAGATTGCAGGGAGATACAAATCTGTGTGTGAATGGGAGGGTTTTTTTGGCAGAGAGGTTAGCAGGACTCAGTTCATTAGGAACGGCCCCCAAGCCTGTGTTGCTGCGGTGCCTTATCTCCCTGCCATCCAGTGTTTCTCAGCCAAGAGGCATCTTTCCTGGCTGGTTTGTCAGGCAGTCCTTTCCTGCTCCAGGGCAGGTGAAGACCTCTTCATGTTCAGCAATGAAGCTTACCCCTTTCTCTCTACTGCCCTGCTCTGGTGTCCCAGATCCTGCTCTGCCCAGAGCTGCCTGCACCACAGCTGAGTCAAGCATAGCTCACTCCTCCCATGTCTCACCCCAAACCTTTGTCAAGTTGGTTCCCTCTAGGCCAGCTTGATGCTTCAAGGCTCACACAAGTTCACTGCTATGATACACCTTTCTGAACACCGTGCCATCCCCAGTGCCTCTCATAGGAACAACTGTATCACCCCAGGGACCCTTTTATCCCAACCTATCCCTTAGAAATAGTGCTTGGAAGATATACCTTCGAGTTCTCTGCTCCCCTACCAGACTCAGTGGTATATTGCAAAGCTCTCCAAATTCTCACATCTTTCCTGTCATGGTTTGCCTCCCCTTTCCCTGCTGCTCTACTTCCCCTCTGTTAGGTCACATGACACTCCATAACTACCGGCCCTGCCAGTTCCTTGACCTGTTCCTGCCCAAATTATTTCCTTGTTCTTCAAGACCCAGGAAAGACAGTCCTGTTTCCAGCTCATCTTAATTCTCTGCCCACTGAATCACATACTGTAGCTCCTGGGCATCCTGTGTCACCTCACAACCTTGACAGATCCTGACAGCCCTTCACTGACTACTGTCTCTGCTTCAGCAGCCAGAAACCCCCTCACCAAACAATAGCATTCCAGGTAGCACCAGAGGTCTTCCCTGTGTATCTCTGTCCTATTTTAGAGTAGGGGAAAGGCTTATGTGTCCCAAAGGCATAGTTTATCTTGTTAACGATATTGCATCTCACCACAGACCTTATTTTGTTTGACTTTGGACCAGCCTGGCTGTGACAGCACCACCACTGACCCCTTGGACATTTATATGCAGAACCAATAAATCAGTATAGGTCACTGGGGGAAGTTTTGTGACACTTGGAAGATGCTCAGAGCTAAAAGAAAAGTTGAATAAGGGATAAGGCTGAGAAGGGTGGGTCATGGCTGAGATCCCTTTCCAGTGCCTTCTCTGCTAGCAGCCTTCCCCCTCTCCAACAAGCCCATTACATCTCAGCTCTGGTCGGTCTCAACCCTCTTGGTGTCCTCACCCACGAGTCAGTGCCACCTGACATTAGGCACAGATATCCGAACAGTTCATTGCTTGTGAGTCATTTGATTTTTCCCTTACAATGATTTCATGATACAAATGCTGATCCCCAGCCAGCCCCAGCCCTGGAAGAGGTGGTAACAGCCTTTCTCTTCCCCCTTCCTCCTCTCCCAGACTACAAAAAGATCTAGTCAGCTCCACTTCTCACTTCTGGTGGCCTTCATCAATGAGACCAACATTTCAGTAAACACCCGCTGGAGGACAACCGGTCAGCTAACACGTCCTGCCAGATCTCCATGGGATGTGGCCAGATTTTTCTGCCCTTTGCCCTCTCCACTGTCATGGCCCCTTACCTGAGGTTGGTGTCATGGGAGCAGCTGCCAGGCCATTCATGTTCAGAGCTGCCATCTGCTGCATCTGGGCCGCAGCAAAGGCTGCCATGGGGTTCAGGTAGCCACCCTGCGCCACCGACGCCATGATTGCGGCTTGCTGCTGCATCAGCTGGAACAAAGAGAGCAGGGAAAAAATATCATGCGTTCACCAGAAGGGCAGCCCGCGGAACCAGCACCAGGATGGGGACTCAGTGAGGCTGTGAGGCATCCCTCTGTTTTAAGATGTCAGCTCACTGTGCCCGTAGTATCCCACCAGCCTTGGACTTCCTTCTCACTATAGGGGCCAGAGGCAAAGTGCATCTTTGCATCTTGGGGTCTTTATAGTCCCCACCCCCATGATGTGTTCCCTAGTGTGGAGGTCTCCCATGAGTTGGACTCAACCCTCTGACTCCCTGGTACTTCTCTGATGAGAAGACCTCATATGATCCTGAGCACAGGAGTTTCATGGCTTACACTGCTTGTAGCAAATCTCTGGGAAAGCACTGGTGCCTGCTGATGGGAGACCAGTCTATATGGAGCAGTGGGGAGAGGGGATCCCTTCTGAAGAGCAGCAAGCTTAGCTAGTTCTCTGGGGATAACCTGATTCGTTTACATCTGACAGTGAGAAAAATAATTTTTCCTTATGCTGCTGGGAGTCCTCCAGTGGGCACTGAACAAAACCATGACCAAACCTTCTAACCAGATTATAGCACTTATTTCTAACACAACCAAGCAGAGACTCCCGGAAGAGCTGTACAAGAGAAGGGAGCTCCCCTACTTTAGCAAGTGTAATACTGTGTAGTGGGGAAAACCTTTCCATGTGGTTTTGATGTGGGATGACTTCCTTAATTGTTTTTTTTTTTTTTTCCAGAAAGTGATCAAAATTCTGCCTTTTGTAGGGAACCGACACAAGACAGAAATAAGAATCCTAGGCCATCTTTTCAAACATTTGGGGGTAAAAATTTTGGACCAAAAGAGTGGTGAATTGTTATGCATGCTGGAAATGTTTCTTACATTAAAACTAGGCTTTGCTATCATTATTTTACACTGAACCTAGCATGCAGTTGGTGCAGTTCATGTGCACAGTATGTCTGCAGTGGGCTTGTAAAATGCATCTGGTATAAAGAAGACAGTTTGGATGAATCTGCCTCATGTCTCCTTCCCTGGAGCTGTACGAAGACCCAGATGAGGTAAGTCTGAGTACATATCCAACCCCCACTAGTGATGGGTGGTGGATGCTTAAAGAAAATGTGGAGGAAAGGATGAGCAGAGAGCAAAACCTCACTCCATTCCCCAGCCTCTGGTAATGCATGACTTGATGATAATAGTGGTGAAGGAAACTGCTTTTCTATAGTGATTTTAGAAGTGACTCCCGTCTTTGCTGTCTCCAGGATTGGAGAACCATTGTTTCATTGCTCTGTGATTTCACTCTCTCTCCCATTAGGAAATGATCCTCTGATGCTGTTTAATCACACGGGACACACTTCTCAGCATTAAACAGACCTCAAAAGTCATGGCAAGGAACAGACTGATCCTTACTGTTAACTTTAATATTGAAATAGCAGCTAAATCAGCTGTTCATACACATACACACTAAACCAAATCCTTGAAATCCCTGTGTTCATTCAAATGCTGAAACTTTCCTTGGCACATGAAAGCAATGGAAGCCCTGCCACTGACCTGCTGCATAACCATGCACAAGTTGTGTAAACTTGACTTGGTTTTTCCAGTGATAAAATGGGACACATGATACCTGACTCCCCATGGAGGAGTGCCTTCAGATTTACAGATAAAAAGTGATGTAATAGAGTTGAGTACCTTTATTTTTTTGAAGTCTAATACATATTGGTGGCAAGCTAGTGTCTTTCCCTTTGATTATTAATTAGCCCTTTTTATTATACCCTACATAAGACACTTTCACATTTTAATTAGTGATATCCTATTCTTTACAATGACTGATGGAGTGACTAGACAATCTTTTCTATTATAACACAATGCTGATTCTTCTTTAAGGAGTACATTTGTTTCTAGGCATCATTTGAGGTTATTCTCCAAAGGAGGCACTGGGCAGATGATTTTAGTAAGTATGCCAGTGAAGTGAATGAGGAAAGGGGAATCCATCCATCTTTAACCCTGGATTGACTCCAACTCTGAGTGTGCTGACCCATATCTCATTTTCTGTGCTGAGTATTTTCACCTGGGGACAACTGAGGATGTAACTGACTGCAGATCTGTGCTTATAGGATCTGTTTGCTGCTGCTAATCAAAGAAGCATCTCCCTGAGATGGATGCAGTTGCAAGGGCTGAGGACAGTCCCAGTCTGGCCTTTGCTGACTTTGCTGACTTTTCTCTGTGTTTCTCCAAAGCTGACCAGGGCTGCATGAACAAACACACCTCAAAACGGAGTGAGATATGGATGGTCATGTGTGTGCTATGGTCAGTCTGCTTGACAGATAACAGCTTGCTATTTGTATCAGAGACCTTCTAGGGCACTCAGGGGACTATGTTTCTGGCATTTCCTATTGTCAGATTCAGTAAACTAAATATAGATGGGGTTTCCTCTGAGCTGGTCATCTATTATTGTGGACATAATAACAGGCAGAGGAGTCTAGGCCAAGATTCATCTCCCCCTTCTGTACACAAATGCTTCTGGGCAGATGAATTGCATCTTTGGTTCTCCTATTGACTGTATGTAGAGCCCCAGGTGATAAGTTCAGCTACACATACCAACACAATCAGATGAAACCATTTCCACCTCTTAACTGGCCCTGAGAGTATATTTTTGGACTTTGGTTCTGAACCATCTAAAAGAAAAGTGTTAATCCTTTTCATTTGTGTTGGACTTGTGTCACAAGAGAAACAAGACTCTGTCTAAAAGATACTACATTGCCCATGGTAGTACAAATGATTGTGATGCTTCAAAGACAATCTTCATTTTGCACTCAGCAGAGCTAAGCAATCACTTGTGACATTATTTATGGCTTATGCAACTTCTTCTCCTGCTTATAGATGTCTCTAAATTGTCCAGAGTTAACTCCACAATGGGTCCTCCTGGTTTGCAAATCAGGTAACCTGAGTATGTGACTTCTTTTGTATTTAGAGGGCTTATAAATTTGCCTTGGAATATACATGTTTGTGGAATGTACCTTGGCTACATGCATGCTCCTTTTTGCAGTGTAATGTCATCCATGCATTTCTGTTACAGACCTTCAGAAAGAAGAAAATATTTTCTGTCTCTTTATGAGAAGAACTAGATGGTCTTAATCTGCTGACTAGTGCTGAAGGTACAGTGTCTGCAACCTAAACCCTGGTGGGTTTCAGTGAAACAGTTGCTTAAAACTGGCCTTAATCTCGCAGAAACTGAGTTAAGATCTTGATGAGCAAAGAGTTTAAATTTAGCTTGGGGTTGAAAATCTAATGCAATCAAAATAAGGCCCTAACCTGTGATTTGGGAAATTAGATTCTGTCACTTCTGTTACAGCAGGCATCCTGCAGGAAGCAGCCATCCCATTTCTTTTATGCTTAGTGTTATGAGTATACCCGGGATGCCCTGGAGACCTGGAAACCCCTGTAGCATGTTGAAATGAGCTGGAACGTTGTACCTCATGACCCAGAGGATGTACACCTCGATGCAGCCTTACCCCATGGGGTAAACCAGGGTGGTCTCCTGCAGAGCTAGAAGGAGTATAGCATCCCATACCTGAATGCAACCATGTACCCCAGCTATGGCTTTGCTTCCTTGGCCAGAGGGGGAACACCAACCATGTCTGGTCATCTCTACTCTTGACAACACTCCTGCAGTCACATTTCTTTTCCATGCTTTTCCTTCTCTGATCAGAGTGGCTCAGGAGTAGAGGTTAAGAGGGAAGAGGAAAGGGGTCCTTCACAGCCCAGCAGCTGGTGGTCACAGCCCAGCTGAGTGCAGCAGCATTGTGGGGGTGGGAGGATGGGAGCTCGGTCATCTTGAAAGAAGCTGACAGCATAGACCTACCTCCTTCCCCCCAGGGTGGCTCCAGGCAAGTTTAGAGAGGAGGGCAAATACTGTAAGGGTCAACAGTCTTCCTTATAAAACCTCCAGGGCATTCCTAATAAAAGTCACCCCACTCCTTCCCCAGTTCCCCCTGAAGACAAATGTCCCATCCACTCTCCTTTCACTTTGAAAAAAAGACCAGTGTATGGTCCCAGTTAATAAAGCTGTAGAAAGTGAGGCAGTGACCCCACCAGAGGCAAATCAATAGCAGCAGGGCCCCTGGGTATTGTGTACTTTAAAATATGCCATTTGAAATGCAGATTTTCCCTTCCTGGGCTGGGGCCACAGAGCACTAATCAGAAAGGCAGCAGCCTTATTATCTCAGACTGATCCAAGGGGACGGAGAGGAGTTTTTCCCTTCCTCAGCTGAAAGGACGTATTTCCTATTGCTTCTCTTACTTCTTTGGCATGATCTTTGCCTCAACATTTAGAGCTTTTTCCCATACAATTTTAAAGATTTGTTCCCTCTTTCCTACAACCTGCCCTTTCCTATTGTTCCAATATTTTCCTTCGGAGGAGATCAGGAGATACTACCAAGCTGGTTCATGTCCATGGTCAACACCTCAAGAGCTAAGAGCCTGCAGTCCCCATCCCAATGCTTGTGAACTGATGGGGCAGATGGAAAGGCACTGGTAAGGCCATCCAAAGCATGGGAAGGGATGGTAGTGACGACTGTTAAACAGAGAGAGATGGGAGAATTTATCTCACACACCTTTTTTCTACTTCAAATTGAGGTGGCTAAACTTCAGCCAACTCTGTCATCGGTGGATAGATAGGCAGCTCCACAGGCTTATCCATCCTATCCTAGCATGGGAGTTTGAGATAAAAAACAAAGGGTGGAGTTTTGCAACACAGCTGCACCAAAACAAGAGCTTGCTGATGTACAGCTTCCTCTCCATGTTTTGCTGCTACCTTTGCACCAGGACAGAGGGACACACAACACTGCTGAGCACCAGCTTAGGAGCAACACCAGCAGAACACTAACCATACAGCACAAATCAGCACTTACTGCATTTTTCCTCCCCAAAGTGGGTCCCTGTATGGTCACTGTCAGTCTAGCGGCGTAGGGTGAGGACATGTGTCCAGAGGTGGAGTTGGGA